TTGATGCATATGTCGGATGCCAGCGAGGAGCTGCATTGCAAAACACTTCACCTCAGCTTGGGAAAAAGGCCCATCATGACAATCGACACACGATTTCAAGTCATGGTCAAAGTGCTCCATGACCATGAACACCTTGTCATGCTCGAGGCCAACAACCATCTCCTGCACACGCACGATATTCTCGTGCTGCAGCGCGAGGAGCACCTATCATTGCAGACATATGTACAGGTCATGCTGAGTTGGTTTTTTGTTGACACTGTTCTAAACATTAGTTTCACGTAGTGCTGTGATGGGGAATCCATCCAAGCAAGCTTCTTGACTTAGCTTGACCCTTTTCAAGGCCACGACCTATGCAACTATTAAAAAGTGGTATCATAACATGTATGTTGACACGTGAAGGCACTTCGCGCGTGTCCAAGTCACGCGCCCGGTAGACAATGCCGTAAGATCCTTCTTCTATACCTGCGGACGATTTTTCTTACACATCTACTAAACGCACAGATGCACTGTCTCACACGATCCAAACGTTCGAAGATATTGACACTTCGACAGCCATTGATGAGTGGATATCGTCTGCGACTTGCATTCTCACCTTCGCTGCAAGCTATATTTGCTAATTTCGACGATGCTGACGCTTGACTTAAAACTCGAGCGGAATCCCTCGAGAGCGAAGACCGGTCCGTCCCAGCCTCGGAGTTCTCGGAGTCCGATCCCCATCGGTCGCGATTCAAATTTACTGTGCGAAAAAGGCGTGACATTTTTGTGCACTCATTCAATAACCTACTTGGTAGTTCTGACATGAGCCGACTCCCTACTGCACCCGACCGGCATAAAAAATGTTGCCTCCACCCCGATTAAACAAGCAGGCTTGTAGACCGCCGTACTATTTGAGACGACGCCACATCGCCGAGCTGCTCGCAGACCAGAGGCCTTGCTCGAAGGCGGGCGTGGCGTTTTAGTCGCGCGACACGCTGCCGCGGCGTTCCGAGTCGCGAAGAATATGAGGCTTGCTCAAAGGCCAGTGGAAAAAATGATGGCCAACAGCCACTAACCTGCCCCGGCTGAAATCTAGTTAGTTAGTCGTTCAACATGGAGATTTTTGTTGAACTTCAAACATCAAGTTGAAGCTACAAATCCCTGGAACTTGAAGAAGCCAGTACAACGTGCTCCTTGGCGCCCGCCGGTCGCAGCCGCAATGACACCGAACGGAGAGGCATGATATGGTCATATGGAAGTTAGCACCAGGGAGGGGCTGCCCGGCCCCTGATATAGGGCTCGGCGCCACTGGCGCCGCCTTGTCCGATATTCGTACATTGTGGCCGATTTTGAGAAAAAATTCTCCGATGACCGTCAAAATGTGTATGCGCGCGCGGCCGCACGCGTCCGTAGGCGTAGTAGAACGCCCAAGAAAACCTCGCCCCACCCCCAAATCTAGTCTAGTCAGTCGGCATGCTGTCTACCCTAGTTAAAATAGATGGCCTTTGGCTTGCTTGGTTTAAACCCCTAAAGTAGCTTTCTAGTCAATCAAGATAATAATTGGCATATAGGGTAGGTAGAGTGAGCCTCAAGGCCCACCTGTACTCCCTGTACACAAAAGATACAGCGGCAGTCGTCATGCGGCGCGGTTGCACAATCGGGGCGAACACTGATGAAGCCTCCCTTTCCGACCAAGTCCAAAGGTTGCGATGCGACTTAATTCGCTTGCACATTTTCTCAGGTACAAACCGCGTACATTTCGCGAGAAGGTAAAAGTCGAGGCTCTAACGAGTTTGTTTCAGTGTCATGCTTCACTAATAATATGATTTTGTCCGAACAGACTCCATCATGAACGATCGCGGTACTGGCTCGATACACGAATCTCTATCAGAAAAGTGCAAAAGAATTGTCGTGGATAATTTTGCCGCTTTTCCTGTACACGAAAACATACCAGCTAAGTAATCGAACGAGGGGCAGGGGACTTGTCCGACTGCCTGGCACAGGCATATTCGGGAAATCACGCAGAATTTACCCGTCGATCTGGATGCAAATATTGCTGCAGAATTTGTTTTCGACGAAAACTATTGGAAAAGGAGGTGTGTCGAGCACTTCCTGCAGCGAAACTGTCAAATCAGTGAACATGGACTCACATGGAAACAATTATATTTCGAGAACTTTATACAAAAGGTGCTACAGAGCCTTGTCTCTTTTCTTCGTAATAATGCAGTCAGAGTTTGGAAGAATATGAACCTGAAACTAAGGAGGAGTCGCTGGCAGTATTGTTGCGAATCATTAAGACTTGCCAAGATTATATCTTTACGCTCAAGGTCGATACAAACCACGAACAGAACTTTCATTTTAGTGACATCGTAGACAAAACAGCTGTTGGCACATCCTGATATGGAGCAGATATGCTCGGCGGTCAGTCCTAGGGTAAAATGTGTAAAGGATTCTTTGACTTATTTAGCTACCAAACCTGACAAAACTCGATATCACGTACGGGGTCAAAAAGATTGGTATGAAATATGATAGGATGTTATTTGGCATGAAGGTTGGAAACAATTGTGTTCTGTCTCATTGAGTTTAATTAAACAAGCAGATTTCTGATGCTAACTGTCTTGCCAAAAGCGTCCTCGACTCGGAGAATATGACAACCCTGGTGTTGCAATCAAACTTGATCGATGACGATTTATTGCGAATGCTCATGACTGGGCTTATCAAGGTGCTGTTCCACGATTTCTCCATATGTATGTTACTCTTCCACAGAACACGCAAATCACCCACTTAGACTTGTCCCATAACAAAGTCACCAATCATGGTGTCCGTCTTCTGTCGAAACTCCTTGGAGCAAGAAGTGTTTTAACTAACCTTAATCTTGCTGATAATCAAGTTCACACGGAGGTGACTTCTGAATCAGCCAACTATCTTGAGCCGTCTGCGCTAGGGCGGTCGGTACCTTGGGCGTGCTCTTCGAGGAAATGATTCCCTCGTCAGTCTTAATCTTCGTCTGAATAGATTGGTCGATGATGGGGGGCGTGTCCTACTTGAAGGGCTCCATGGCAATAGTACAATCATTGATTTGAACTTGTCAGCAAATTCCATGGGGAGCGAATCTGCTAATGCACTAGCTAACATTCTGGCCGATCCATGCTCACGCCTAAGTTCTTTAGACCTTTCGTGCAATGATTTGACTGAGCAGGACTTGAAGCACGTCATGATCGCCCTTGATGAAAACAAGGTGTTACTAGGCTTCCATTCTCTTGGAGTTGCTAATGAATAGGTCCTATGCAACCTTGACGTGCGCATGAATTGCAACTCCGAGGAGCTGGAAATATTGGATACCATCCGGACAATCGTTCACCAGAATGAAATGACTAGCCAGCTCATGCAAACAAGCTGAACATAGTGCTTTTCAAAAACTATGAGATTCCAACTTCAGCACAAAAGGAAGCGACGCTACGCTGCACCAATGGGGCAAGGAAGGAACAAGGAACCCCCCGCCGAACATGCCCAACTTCCAAGCGGCGCGCACACAAAGGTGGAGAGGCTGCGGCCACGATTCGCAGGGGGGTTCAACTGGATTCGATGTTGATCCTGGGCCGTGACATGATTCTGGTATACATGACCTCTGCTTTCGGCTCGGGTTAGTGTTGGATCTATACTATCGTTGCAGCCTGGGCATCGAATTGTCGTTGTACCTCTGGCAGAAAATTTCTTTCACCTTGCCAGCCCCCCCCGCCGGCCAAAAACCAGCGCCGCCCCCGGCTTTGTCTCTGGTTGGAAATAACCCGTAGCCTCTCTGTAAAAGCCCCCCGTGAGTGAGGGAAAGCTGAGGGGCCGTAGACAGTGGGGCGGTTAGAACAGGCAAATAGCAGCCAGTCTCCTAGCTGGGATTACCTCCCCATTCTGCAAATGGAACCAACCACCGGACGGAACATGTACAAAGGATTCCTCGGCGAATTTAAGGCGGAGCCATGGTTCGGGCATCCTACCAGCCCGCAGCCGCGCGATAATCCGGGATTGTACCACGAGTCCAGCGGCTTCGAGCTCCGCCAGTGTGAGACTGACGCACACGCGAAGATGCGAAGCATCATCGTGATGTTGCGCAGGGGGAGTAGAGAGACAGAGAGGTTTCTATCTGCACTGGCACCTTAGCTGAGCTTAGTGAACTGCCTGGCATGTAAAGACCCGCACCCCCGGCGGGGATAACTAGCTTACCTTCGTCCAGCTAGCATCCCCACCTTCGAAGGAGAAAGAGGCATGGTCTTTACTTGCCAGGTGAACTGCTTAGCCGCGTCGCAGGGAGGAACCGGAGGGAGAGAGAACAGCGAAGGGAGGCGTAGGAAGGCGTCACGGGAGGACACGACTAGGGCGGAGGCGAACTGCACCTTCAAGTTGCCCCACTGCGCTTCCTGCTAGTATCCACCTTCCTCTCCTTAATACATTCTAATCCAGCTTCAAGTCTTATAGACAGCGAACTGAAGGAGTGCACGGCCAAACAGAGGTAGGAGTATCATAGCGCCCTTCTGCTCCTGTGGTGTCTGTCTGGTTAGCGTCACAGCGACGTGCCAGAGAGCACCAGGCCCAGCGAGGTTGCACAGTCGCCGGACAGTGCACCTGCTGGATAGTAGTCTGACTGACGCCACAGCGACATTAGGAAGCTACTGAACTATCCTAACTTCCTAATTTTAAAATTACTACCTGAATACAAACTTGAAAGAAGGGGAAATATATTCTAAGAAACTTCAGACAATCAAAGAACCAGGCAGCCCAAGAGATTCAGGTGATGATAGCATTTCGGATAGCAGTTCCGACAGCTCTGAGGATTACAAGAAGAAGAAGAAAAGTCGCAAGAAGAAAAGCTGCAGTACCTGCAATTATCAACATCGCAGCGTCCAGTCCCGCCTGCTAACTTCCTTATTTAGAAGGCGCATCTGGGAGAGACTGCGGGCTGACAATGCGGAGGCCAAGCTTAATTTGCCCTGTCAGTATGTTTGTTCTTTTATATTGTGGTTTCGCAGTGCGAAATTCTGACAAAACGGCACGAGGCTCAGTGAGTTTGCCAGGAGTTTCACGTGTACTCCCTGAATGCATGACCTCATCTAGCGGAAATATATCATTTGCGGCAACTGTGGGCAAGCCAAGTTGGAACCACCCGACTAGTTCCCTTGTGTGTGTAGCCTTCCCGTGGCGTTGAAAGAGTAATTTTGATGTATCCGCGGGGGATTTAGTGGAATCTAATGCCAATAGAGGCACATTGAGCTCGCCAATAGCGGAGCTCGTGAGAGTGTTCCAGAAGCCCGCTTTCCCTGGAACGCGCTCCTGGTGAACACAAAGTACTTTGAGTTGGGCGCTCTCAAGAGTTGATATAGGCCCGAGAAGGAAAGTTTCATTCCACTGGGGCCGTTTCGACCAGAGGGATATCCTGGATTTTTCCTGGGCTATGAGATTGGACTCATGATGCTCCTCCGACCGGAGCTGGATGACACAGTGCGTAGAAATGGCACCTTTGCCACCATGCTTGACCAGGTAACGCCCTGACATTAGGCGGATGTGGAGAAGACTGCCTGACGTGTCGTTACTCCGCCCGTCTGGGAGGGACCGTGGCACATTGACAGCAAGTTCTAGCGTGCGTGCAATTGTGTAGTGGGCGACATCACGTACTGCAAAAGCAGCTGCTAGTGTAGAGTTCAGCATGAGCTTCGTGGGTTTTGTCAAAAGTATTTTAACGATGAGTATGTTGATGAGAGCCCAAACCAGCTCTCCAAGGAAGATGCCGCCTAGACGCTTCTGTTCTCCGCGTGTCAGTTGATCGCTTTCAAGCTCTATGAACGGAATGTGGATCGCCGTGTCTTCATGACCACCAGTGTAGTGCGCCTTGGCCATCAGTAAGTCCATGATACCGACGTCGATGTCTGTCGCAATGACATGGGCGATATCCAGCTTGATAGGCACGCCCCAGCGAGGTCGCCGCTTTGGGTCCCCAACGAGTGTATCTTGCCTGGAAAGAAGTGGTCGAAACATTTTTTTGTCAATACTACTTGCTGATGGACTGTGTGGTTCCGGCGGGGTCCAATCTCTAGGCTTCTTCGACGAGGTGAGCAATGGCAAGCTGCATCCTAGCTTGGCTGGCGCTGTCCGGTTGGTGGTTTCACTTTCTTTAGGTAAGCATGTTGAGAAGCGCACAATACTCCATCGATTACTGCGCGATTGAAATTTAGCTGCCTGTGCTGTGCGGCGTTTTGCCTCTTCGGATTGCATCATTGTAGCGTGGAAGGTTGTGCGCAAGCTAGAAGGGTTTTCTAGACGTCGGATGTCCTGTAGCGATCGTACAACAAAATTCACATCCTGCGCACACGGTAAGATTGAACCAGGACACATATACTCTTACTGGTTCACCTGATCAGGCAGGTCCAGCGCCATCCAGAGGTTCAGGGCGTCTGCCTTGTTGCGCTTAGCATAGAATCTTACGCCCTCGAGGCTGATCTCGTGGACCTTAACAGGATTACTGTGGTGGTCGCGCAGCGCACAGTGGACAGACCAAAGATCAAGACGAAATGCGAGACGATCTACGTGAAGAAGGTATGGGCTACGAAAGGCCGTTGCTGGAGTTGGGCTTCGGGGATTATGCCAGGTCCAATGTGTTACTATGATTTCACTTGGGTATGCGCTACTCCATGATGGTCGGAAGCTGATAGATTCAATGGACCAGTTAAACGCTTTCGGAATGGTATTGATACCCCAACAAGCAAGCCGGGCCAAGAGACCATCAAGCGCGAGGTAGGCCCAGAGGACGCAAACCACGAGAAAACTTCCTAGCATGGCGCAGTAAGTCCAACAGAATCCGATCAAGAAAGATAATAGGACAAAGCGCTTGCCCGCGAGCAAAAGCCTCTCTGACATATGTCACACGTGTCCCGAAATGCGCGGCCTCGTGCTTCATTGGGTTACAGCAAAAAGTTGATAACTTTGAATATCTATATACTACTTTTGCAGTTCGTCGCGGTGCACACGTCCGAGCAGCAACATAAAACTTTTAATGAGTGGTTCAAAGCGAGCGCAGCGAGCAACCTCAATCAAACGAGTGGCTGATAGCTCGCGAAGCGAGCTTGCCGGCCGTAGGCGGGCTTGTACATATCTAGAGGAAAGAATATAGCCTGAGACTAACCTCATTCTAGAACCCCCGGACGGAACGCTAACTAGGATTCTGCGCAGCTTGGACGATGGTGGGAGGAGCGGCCGAAGACCCACCGCCGGAGCGCTGGCAGCTACCCGTGGAAGCAACTCCGCCAGCGCCCGAGCCGACCGAGCTCGAGCTCGCGCAGCATTAGACGAAGGGCTGCCAGTGCCCCTGCGTCATCCGCCAGGCATATTCTTCTTGACTTTTTAACGAGGGCGTAAGAATCAAGTTTTGGGGCCTTGTGGCGGCTTAGCTTGAAGTTGGCGGTGCGCTTGTATCTCTAGTATGTCCCTGTTTTATCTACAGCGAGCGACGATGGATACATATCCAGTTTTAGCATAAATCCTACAAACGAAGAATCTGTGTTACTGTAATTCGACAAGGTGAAGCAGGTGTTACTTTGTCTGCCACACTGCCCGGCCCCTCTATCGAAAGGCCAACCAAAGGCCTAGCCGCTGACCCGGTCCACGGAAACCACGCGACTTTGCTTGCAAGTCGAGCTAGCAGGCTTCGGAAGGCGTATGGTTGATAAGCAGGGCACTCACACATGTAACGATGTTAGCCAGCCATGTTTTAGTCGAAGGCCGGCTAACTTAAGATTTGGGACCATGCGGTACAAATCGGGTGAGGTATATACGGGCGAATTGCTCAACGGCCAGCGCAGCGGGGAGGGGGAGATGACTTATAGCCCTAGGAGTAGATAGT